GCTCTCTGTTGAGGAGAAAAGCATGAATTTGTTTGTAAACGGATTATCCATTGTTTAAATGTCCCGGAAGTCGAAAAGGAGGCAGAGCTGCTGAGAAATGCTAAGAGTTAACTGGGCGCTAACTGTATCATTCAAATATATTGAATGTCGCAATGTTGGCAAAGAGAGGAAGTGACGTAAGATTTGCGCATGCGGGGTACCGATCGGGTTTCCGGTACGGATCGGGTAGTGACAGCCCCTGTAGGAGTTCAGAGTTAAGAGGTCAAGAGTTAATGTTTCCATTGTACCACCTCCAGATTTGAAATAGAAACACTCATTTTTAACACTCGATTTTAACTACTATCATTTTACACCTCAGAGTTACATTAAAAGAATGTGACTCTACTTAGAGTAAAATTAACTCTAAGACTACTAACACCAAAGCATTTAACACTTTTGAATTTGCTGTGCTGACAAAGAGAACCATGAAAGGGTTTATTCTACTCTAAGGCTGGATATTAAGAATGCAAATGTATGTATTTTTGTAATTTAGCGCACTTAGAAGTATCATTTTAAAGAGCCTGACACAGTGATTAAAATTTGTATGGTTGTAAGTATGGTTTCAGTAATGGTTCTGATGCATTTACTTGTTACCAGCTGTTAACAATGTTAACAGAGGTTATTCAATTAATGTGATGTGTACAGACAAAAGCTCATATAGATAAATCATAACTCTAAGCCTCTGTTTATCTTCACCTGTCTCCTCTTCTTCTGTAGAAGATCAATGAGCTGCAGCATCAGAACCAGACTGAGACCGATAATAACAATTCAGACCTGATGGAAACACTGGGAAAGATCAGGGAGCGTGTTAAGAGGATCAGTCTTGAAAAACACCAGTCAAAGGTTGGAGATATGTTATCATTATTAACTGCTGTGGTAAAGATAAATTCTGCTACCCAAGAGCCTGAATTGAACTGCTTTTTATATAAATAAAAACATTAACCTTTGAACCTGGCATGATAAAACAGATGCAGAATATAGAGTCAGAGTTCGGGGGAATGAAAGAGAAAATGACGAAACTGATGAAAAACCTAAAAGGATATGAGGAAAGACTCAACAACAGCACGGACCTGGAGGCTGATATTGAACATTATGCAAAGCTGCTGGAAAAAATGAAAGAAAGGTGATGTTTTCAATTTCTAAGTTGACAGATTTTATTATCTGCTACATGGCTTCATCTTATAATTGTTGTTAAATTCAAGTGCTGTAATCATGGCTGGAGTACCTACCATTAAAGTTGTTGCTTTTAATCATTTACCTGGATGAAATCCAATCATTCTGGTTAAAGATTTTATATCTATGGATAGATAGAGCTGTGGCTACAATGTAGCTGCCATCACCAGTGTGTGAATGTGTGTGTGAATGGGTGGATGACTGGATGTGTAAAGCGCTTTGGGGTCCTTAGGGACTAGTAAAGCGCTATACAAATACAGGCCATTTACCATTTTACCATCACATTATTATATTATTTATTAAATTATTTTTCAACATTTTTCTTTTTGTCTTCACAGGATTAATACAGGGAAGTCACAGGGAAATGTGGATTCAGATGAAGGTAAGAACAAAGGTGTGAAGACTCTTTAACAAGCATACAAACCACAATTTGTGTGTGTGTGTGTGGGGGGGGGGGGGGGGGGGCACTGTCTGCTTAATAACAAGTATGATTCAGTGCAGAGAGGTCTATTAACACATAGTGAGTGAGAAAGGTGACTGAAGAAGAATAGTCAATACATCATGGGAATCCCCCAATCATTAACATACATATCTAATTAGCATCACATGGAAGCAACATTGTGCATTTACACTGTGCATGTTGTTTGGTTTCCCCGATGTATAAATCCTGGCACGTAACAGCGTGCACTGTGTTACCCTGTTTGTGTCGGGGACCCGATCCTTGGGGTGCACCCATTTTTGGTGCAGCGTGTTTTGGGGTTTAAAAGCCACAGAGACCTGGTGTTTAGAAAAAATGCGTCTCAACTGCTCCAATACTCCTGACACGTACGGGATCACTACAGGTTTTTGCTTGGGCAGCGGTCGTCCTTCTCTCCTGGATCAGCTGGAGCTTTCTTTAGGTACCTTTCCAGCTTTGACAAAAGTCCAGCTGGGATGGTCATGAGAATTTGCATAATTAAGATTAAGGGACTGACCTCCGAGCCCATTGTTCCTTCAGTGGGCTGGTTTCAGTCATTATGCAAATGTACTGTTTATATGATTGGGGAAACCTGCAGTCAGCTGAGACTGAAGAAGTCACTTGGATGCGTGACGAAACATTTCTCCCACAAAACGCTACGTCCAGATGAACAGAATCAACTTTTGGAGACACCATGAAGATGGCTTGTTTTTTACGGAGCCCCGCAACGGACATGGTAGGGGAAAAAAATGAAGATGAACTTTTGCAAGATCTCGCAAAAGTAGCTTGGGAACTCGTAAAATAGGCCTCATCATTCGGAGGCCACCAGCTTGAAGCTGACGAGCCATGCGACGAAGGCTGCTCCAAATGCGTCCTTCGTGGCCCAACCTATTCCAGAATTCAAAGCGCGGCCCAGCCAATCCCAGTTTCAAACAATGGCGGCAGCTATTTAGTTTTAATATTACTTTTCCTGGTCACGAAATAAACTTTTAAGATATTTTCAGCCGAAAATGTAGCTGTATAAACTCCAAGTATCTGCTTAATTTATCAAGACATCACATATTTGCAAAAGTGCTCCTCTGTGAAGAGGTAGTAGTTTATTTTATTGCAAAGTGTAATACAAAAGGTTTGAAGTGTGAAATAAACTGCAATGGAATTTGTTTGGGGGGGGGGGTTCTTTTAAAACAAAGAGGGGCTAGCTCTTTAACTCCAGCCGATAAGACCATTTCCCACACCCATAAACATAAACTAATCTACACTCTTTTTATACTGCCGACACTTTACTCGCTTACAGTTATTTTTTACTCACCTTTCAGTGACTTTAATTTTAAAACTGTGTATATACTGTATATTCTGTGTATTTATTATCTCACTCTTATTGCCTGTTTATGCCCTGTCCGTATCTTCAACGTCATGGTGCTCTGTTGTATGTTAGTTGGCCTTTGGGGATAAATAAAGTCGTTCTGATTCTGATTCTGAAAACAAAGTTTGGGAACTACTGATGTAACTGAAAATAACAAGAGCATGAAGGAAGCTGTGGTGTTTATAGCAGTGATTGAAAGGACTGTTGTACTGTTGAGCAGAAATGACGTTCCATCCTGTATTCACCCTGCTTACAACTGGCTCACAAGTACTGTTTGCAGCTACCACTAGATGGTGCTAGGGAGCATGCAAAGTTAAACACTCCGATTCCATTGCAGATCCGGACGGTGATTACGATGACAATGGGGTAAAATACTATTAATTTTATCTATTCATGTTTTTATTCCTTTGTGAAGTTTCGTGTGTGTGTGTGTGTGTGTGTGTGTGTGTGTGTGTGTGTGTGTTGTTTATTTTTTGAAATTTTCTTTTTTAAGAGTCCTGACAGGTCGTTTTGTTTTAGAAAATGTAGGAAAAGAAATTCATCATCAAACAAATGTTCCAGTTCTTAGGTCTTCGTTTCAAAGTGAATTATAAGAAGAGGAAGAATTAAAGCAGCTTTTTTCATGGCTCAGTGACACCAGACTATGAAAAATAAGTAGTTGTCTGGTGCTTATGTTGAAAAGTGCTTTTTGCATTCAGCTACTGATTGCAAGTAGTTACAGCAACCAGGCAACCTGTCTCCAAAAACCTGCAGCCAGCCTCTGACTGCACTCTCAGACAAGACTGCAACATGCTGATATCAGTCTGAATCAGTCCACACTGATGAACACAAAAGAGGACTCAACTCAACTGGTTGTATACGGGTTATATTCCTACATAAAAGCAAGGCTGCAGAGCGAGCGCCTTTGTCATTTTGCAGTTAAATCACTGTCCAACAGCGACTATTAACATTATTTTCCGTGTTTCTGTTTGAAATCTGTGATATTGTGAATGGACTCTAAATCTAAATAGTTAATGTGAACTTCTGTGTTTGCAGACGAAAACAGATTGTAGGTAATTATTACCTTGACCTGGTCAAATTACAGACTGACTCAGTCTTACTGCCCTTTTATGGCTGAGTTGATCTAACCGACAGTGAGTGGTCGCAGACCTGCTCCCCATCTTTAAAGCAATCAATTCAAAGCCCACAAGATTACCAGTTCATTGCATATGCTAACAATAATTTTGCTCTATAGCCACTGTTTTTATTTTATTTTATTGTGACTATATCAAGCAGAGTATGAACTGATGGGCAGCAAAAGTTCCCAAACAAGATAAAAAAGGATTATTTTGATCCGTGAATTAGGTAAAGCTAGTCTGTGGAGCTGGATTTGAAAATAAAAATTATGAGCAAATGGCAAAAATTGTGTATGCATGACCAGATACAGCTGATCGATCCTCCCACCCCATTGGCCCATATTTATCATCTGTGTGACGATTTTCAAGATTATCTCAGCCTGTTCAAAATATTTTTATATTAATGATGATTCAGTTTTAGTCACTTCAGTGTTTCTCGCAATTCACTCATTTATTTAAAGGCTCAGAAACTGAAGTCTTTAAGTTTAAGCTTGAACCACTTTTTTTAGTGATTTTTGATGGCCCCCAGTGGCAAAATGAAACAGCAAATTTCTTTCAGAAGCAGCCCTTTTTTCTTATTTTTGAAAATGTTGCCAAAATAAGTGGCAAAATGCCCCCAGCCCTTTACCTGATTTCAGTCACCTTTAGAGGTAGATGGTAGTTTGACCTCTGACCTCAGTTGTCAGCCTGTAAAATTACAACTTCACTCGCCTCTGTGATGCCTTGTGATCCACACGTAGCGACCATTGGGAACACACTACACCAGCAGCTTTAAAGTTTTGTTACAAGATAAAATTTCTATTTTTTTCTGGATAAATATAAAAACTACTTTAATCTTTCTGTCAGTGCTGTTGTAGTTTCTATGTGTTTAGGGCAGAGCCTTTGCTCGCTTTCAGATAGCTAACAAGCATTCACACAGAGAAGCCATCTGATAAAAATCGGTCGGTTTAATCTTTCTAATGTTTTTCTCCTACAGGGTGACACAGAGTAAATCCAGTCATCAATATAACGGCAGAAAATATGACAACTGGCAGGAGAGAAGAATAATTAAAAAAAACCACTAATCTGTCTTTTCTTGGTGGTATAATTGTAAAGCTGTGCTTCTAAACTTATTTGATCATTGAGTGGTGGGATTTTTTCAGTAGGCCAACTAACTGACTTTACTAACATGAACTTGTGTTAACTTTTAATTGATTGATAGAAGAACATTTTATGGGATTGGACAGTTTGGGTCCCTCTGTCAGTGAAGAAGTCGATGACAGTGACAGTGATGACCCCAAAATCTGATCTGAGCAGCAGTTAGGGGGTCAGGGGTCAGTTAAGGGTCAGACATATGTGCTGTGTGTGGAAAAGTAATAGCTGTTTATTGTTAATGTGAATGATAGCGTATATGTGCGTGTGTGTGTCAAGAGCTCGGAGAGGACTTCATGATACCCTCATGTAAAGTATCAGCATGCAAAGGTACTTCGAGAGTCAAATGACAGAAATGTAGCATCCACTTCTGATTCAATGTCAGACATACAGAGACATACAATCTCACACACAGACTCACCTATGTATGTATGAGCACACACGTTTGGTTGTTGGAATAAAAGCTTATATGAAGATTAAATTGGTGTTTTTTTCCAATTAAAATAAAATGTTTCAAATAATTTGTGTGCCTAAATCTCCATGAGCATTCACACTGGAAAATGTTGTATTCCCTGACTGGTTGACAAGTGGTTGCTGATAGTTGCTGGCTGGAATTGGGCTAAACTGGTCATGAAGAAAATGCTACACCAACAATTCCATGTAATTGCTTTGATTACTAGCAGATTGCTGCAGTCAGCTCTCATTTGCATGGATCATTGTGACTTGTCTGCAGACACTTGCTCTGTAGTTTTCACTCTGTAGTGAAACCTGAAGTGTTTGCAGACAGGTTACACTTTTCCGCACAAACGTCTGGCAACCTTGGCAACCTGCTAGCAATCCAAGCAATCAGGAGGACTTCAGTGCAATCAGAAGTGCTGGTCTGTTACCATTTTATACTACTAACTAACTGCCAGGAACTTGCCCCAACAAATTACCAAATGGTCTTGGAATACCAGTTGGAATTTTCCTAGCAACTGGTCACTGACCAGGTGACTGGCTTTAGCAACTGATTTCACAGCAACTGGCACAAGATGAAATTGGTCACAAAATTACTATCCACCAAAAACATTCTTAGCACTGCTTTGATAGCTAGCAGATTTCTGCAGCTGTCCAGAATTTGTGTGGAAGTCACCCACTTGTACCCAAATACTTACCAAGTAGCAGTGAAACTTGCCGCAACTTTCAGCAACCATACACAAAATACATATTTTTCCGTGGCAATCGGCGAGTTTCTCTTACAAAAAGAAAAAGACCCTCAGAAATTGGGTGAAATTCTCTTAAATAAACATTAACAAAAGGAAAGATCAGACATGTTTCTGCTAAAAGCAAACTATGGCACAAAATTCTGCCCATAGCAAACCACCAGCTCTGAAACCAAAGAAAAGTTCACGACGCTGATCACAGATGTACCGAGTGTGCCCGTTCAGGCTGCTCAACAGTCTGTAAAGGAGCATCCACACAGTGAGCAATTCACTCATATCTTAGGCTCCAGTTGCCTAGGTAACTCTTTAACGTATTTGCCACCCTGTCATATGTCGATCAACTGTATCTATTTTTCTTATTGGTGAGTCAGGACCTGGTTATTTTGTGTCACCAGCAGTTATCACTCAAAGTAGCGTCACATTTAAAAAATAATAATAATAATTTAAATATAAAGGATGAGCTAAATTGTATGTGTATGCGTATCTGTACTAAAATGTACAGATGATGAGGAGGAGAAGATTAAAAGGTGTCTGGAGATAAAGTTAAAGATCAGAAGAGCGATATATGAGATGTTAAGGAAAAGGGCCAAAAGAAAGAAATGAGGGAGCCAACAATAGACTATGTTTCGTGCCTACATGGCATTGCTTTAAAAGACCACTCATTTTACATTTTATTGTACACAGGCCCATTGGAACACATGCTTTAATGATCATAGTCATAATTCAGTTTAATAAAAGCATGGAGTTACTGGCCTACAGTGATGATTGCACTCTCCTTACAGAAAATAAATAAAACAAATAAATACATCCCACTCGAAAGAAACCACTAAATGTGACTTTTAAGAAAAGAAAGTGTTTAAATATAACAATCAAATGGTAAAAAAAGGAAAAAAAATCCAACTCCCACCCAAAAAAGGTAGTAATTGTTGTGTTTTTTTATGTACAAATTTCACATCGATGTACATGAAAGGGTGCAGGGTGTTCAGTGCCACACAGGATTGGGTGGACGGAGGGGTGAGATCATGCATGTCAGGTGAGAAATAGAAACACCCCCCCTCCGCAGTCATGTGTCTGCTTTTCCTTTAAAAAGGCAGCAACAATAACAAAGTATTCACATTTTCACTGGTGACAAAAATGTTATGTTGTCCCAAATAAAGAAGGTCAATGCACATGATGGAAAGAGTTGCTCTAAATACAAGTTTCTATGGCCATTAGTCCATTTTGTCACTCAGACCTGTGAGCTTTGTTTACACTAGCACCTCAGCTGGGTCTGTCTAAGGTGCAAACAGGCACATTTCTGAGATTTAGTTTGACAGATACCTAAACCATCACTGAGAAAACATTTTAATTTATTATACTGGAAAATAACAAATACCTGAAACAATCTCTCAATCAGTTTCTTACATGAATCAAACCTACCTACACAGCTCAGGTTAAATTAGGTTAAATTAAAAAAACAAACAAACATATAATAACCCTGAAATATTATGTAAATGTTAAAGGAACACTAGAAAACAAAACAAAAACCCTCAAATTTACTTATTAAATCTTTATCTGTTATCTTTTCAAAAGTTGGTTACAGGGCAGATAAACTGTTATTTGAATCAAAAAGTCAATACTAGCAAGCTAGGCTAATTTGCTTCCATAGTAAAGCAGGCTAACTAGTTTTTACTTAAAAAGTTGACATTAGTTAGCCTATCATGCTAACATCAATGACAATTCCCGCCATGTTTTTATTAGTGTCGTTATTTGTAATCAAGCTTTCACTTTCTTAACACTATTGTATCAGTAAATAATGACTACAGCTACGACAACTGGAATAAACTAATTCTTTTTAAATTAATCATATTTAAGAAACTAAAAATGTAACATTGGCACTAATTTCTGCCACTCTTCAGTTATGTTACCTCTATTATCATACAGCTATTAAATAAAAATAAATAATTATTTTATCTGATAACATTAGCTTTCTTGATCCTGTTTCAATTATGGTAAATGAGCTGTCTAACAAATGAAATTAAATTTATATTCACTTTCATGGCATAACAAAAAAATTCAGCTATTCTGTCATTGACCATCCTCTGCCAGGTTCTACACAAAGGTAAATGGTAGAGTGAAAATCCGTTTTGCACGTGAAACTGATCTCTTAGAGAATAAGTTCAGGACACAAAATGAGCAAGATTTATATTTTCCAGCACTGAGAATCCGCAAAATCAGATCTTTTGAGGTGCCAGTGTAAATAAAACCTCATTTATCCACACGTCTGTGAAAACAACAAGCTCATCTCTAAAAAGTCTTTTAACCCTGCTTTTTGTAGCTCCCTGGCTACCACCCCTCACTGAATTTTTTTTTTTTCACTTTTAATGCAAGAAGAAGCCACTGGTGGGATATCTGCCAGTAACCGCTCTCCTGATGCTGAACTTTACAGTCCAAGGAGGGGCAAGGCACCCGTTTAAACAGATTCCCTGGCCTTCAGAGCAGTTGGCCGCTTGAAGTAGTGTGTCGTCCAGCACCAAGGGTGGCAAAGGGTTTTCCCCTCTTTATATGTGACAGTTATGAAATCTTTCCTCATTTCAAAGAGGATGTATGTAGTCTGGATGGCACAGAGAGCAAATAGAGGATCTCAGTTTGCTGTGAAGGGTCATTACCTCCCTTTAAAGACAATGTTGACTGGACCTTTAATTCAACTTCCACTTGCTTCTGTAACATCAGTGGTAGAAACTATTAACAACGAATCTTCATTATTTTTGTTAGAACCTGAGGAGGGTTTGCACTGAAGCTCCAATCCCTGGTTTGAGTTGAGATGGTGGCAGACAGGTTGGGGATGGGTCCAGCAGGTTGTTTTGGGCTTCCACATCAATCTTTAAAATTGTAGCTGCGGTTTTTGTGATGTTAAGTACATGCATGCATTTGTGCGTTTGGACGATGAAAAGAGGTCAGCTAACCTCGGCACCACGCTGGTGGCTCCAGCAAGAGGTTTATAATCCAAAATTTATTTAGGGAAACAGTCAAATGTGTTTGCATTTCAGGTAAATCCAGCCCTATATATTTTTTCCATCCTCTTAGGTGTGTAATGGTTTGTTCTAGCACAGGTGTGATTATAGAGACGTACATCTCTCTGGGTAAGTGGTATGTTCAGGCATCTGGGAGGTTCTGGAGTGGTTAGACCCGTAGCGAAGGTCCTGCTGCTCCAGTGAGTGGCGTTGTGGATCCACAGTCATAGCCCATCTCCACTACGGCATGGGAGCCCCCGACTAGCCGGCCTGGAAAGGGCTGTGCCTGTACCTGGCGATCTCTAAAACTCTGGATGTAGCTCTAGAAAGAAGAAAGAGTTTATGAAGTTAGTCTGGTTCCTTCTTTTTATTGCCAGTCTTAACAAATGGCAGGATAACTTCAAAATCACTACTTGCCCAATTGGTTGCCTCTAAGCTATTGAAACGTGTTGGAAATTTGATCATCTGGTTAAAACAATGTTTGACTGTGGTCACATAACCTACTGTTACCTATTTATTCTACACAATGACTGCCTGGTTTCAGGGTCCTTGGCTGAAAAACAATCAATTATTATCATGATATGTAAAGCCTCAGAATTCAAAGAGTGTGTACTTTCTTTTTACTATGAATCTGTCAGCAAAGGGTGAGCTGAGGTGAAATTCTAGTTTGCTAGCTTGCTATATTGGTTCACTAGGTAACATGATACATGACACTTGTGTATATTTTAAAACAGAATAAATTTTAGCCATCAGTAAATCATGTAAAGGACCAACAAAACATATACAACTGATGTTTACGTTTTTCAGTGACAGCTCACATGGGGACAGTTCGCCAGCTAGCTATAAAGTAACTTAATTAAATGGTAGATATCTGACAATGGTACTTGATCAGTCTTATTTTTAGGATATTGATAAGCATTTAGTATATATGATTTAGGACAGTCTATATCTTATTATTGTATAATGACCTTGGGTATTGTTATATAAGGTTTCACACTGATTTCTATTTTTTTCTAGAATTCAGTGACAGACTATTTCCTTTAAATAACTGTGCTATTTGTTTCAAGGCCAAAAATTTTCATTCAACAGTATCATTACTGGTCCTCACAGGAGAGAGGACGTCAGTATCGTAGCGGCGGATAGGGTTGGGTTTGCGGCGGTAGGCGGGCTCCGTGTGCAGTTGTTTGGATTGGTGTTGATGGTGTGAAGAGGAGCCATGTTGCTGCTTCTTCTTCTTCTTGTTGCGGTAGCGGTCATCCCGCTGGCGAATGCGCATTACCTGCATCCTCCGCTGCTGGCGGCTGATGATTACTGAGGAGAACAAAGGGAGGCTAATAAGGAAAGATGATTTTTTTTTGTTTTTCAAAGCTAAAAACAGAGGCAACGTTGATATCTATCTATATTCTATATACTTTTCTATGTGAAAATTAGGTTCATCTTATTAAAAACTTAGGGGACCTTTATGGGTGCTCTTGAGGAACTCAGATCAGATCAGATTTGAGTTTTGAAGAGATTCTCACTTAGATGCACGACATCTTAAAAATATTCGACCCTCAAATGACCAAATAATTTTTTTTTAAATGAATGCATTTTGTCAGAAGTGAATATAACATATACTTCTGCTGAAAACTGCTGAAGTCTAGTCAGGACATTACAAGCTGATACAGGAGTTCCATTAAAGAGCAACAAAAATCAGGCTTTTATTGTATTTGTAAATGCTGCATTTAGAACCAAATCACTGCAGAAAAGCTCCAGAGCTGCTCTAAAATTCTAAGAATATGTCAACTATTGCCTGGTCTCTTGGTGTATCTGGGCAATGATGTCTAATATTTTGTGTGTAACCAGCGGATATCCAGGTTAAGACTTCCTGTTGTATCCACCTGTCTTGGTTTATCAAGTTTAAAAAAGCTAAGAAAAAGTGTAACTATCCTCAGATCATTGATGTTTAAATTTCAGCATGCGTTTTCCTTTTTCCCTCTTAATAAGAGAGTTTTGACGAGCAAACAAGCAAAGCCTGCTTAAACGTGATTGGTCAATAATACTTGGCCAGGGTTAAAGTAAAATTTGAGAGGTGGGGAAATCCCAAACTCTGGTATAGTTGTCATGGACCTTGAAATAACTTATTGTTGGTTTAGCTAATTAAATTCTATATTTTACATGTCCCAAACACATTTAGTTTAGACTGCAGATGTAATAAATGAACATTAAATCATTTGTTTTGGTGTGAGATAATTCTCACATTTTAGAGTTAGCTTTATCTAATGTGCAGGGTGGGCCATTTATATGGATACACCGTAATAACATGGGAATGGTTGGTGATATTAAAGTCCTGTTTATGGCACATTAGTATATGTGAGAGGGCAAACTCCTCAAGATGGGTGGTGACCATGGTGGCCATTTAGAAGTCGGCCATCTTGGATACAACTTTTGTTTTTTCAATAGAAAGAGGGCCATGTGACACATCAAACTTATTGGTAATGTCACAAGAAAAACAATGGTGTGATTGGTTTCAACGT